GCATCTTCTAAAAAAAGATATTTTCTTTCATGAACATCATTTAAGAAAAGACATTTGCATTTCATTTGCATCATAATGGTGTTCACTAATTTTGGAAACATTAAAGAAGAAAAAGAAAAAAAAGGGGTAAAAACATATTCCAAAGATCAAAAATTTCAATAAGATGGCATAAGATGAGAGCTTTAAGACCAATCTAGCTGACAAAAAAGTTGTTAACTCAATAAAATTGGCAACATTCAAGAAAAATATTGTGATAAATTGCTTTCAAAGTTCTCGGTGGTGATATCCGAGTAATAAATATGAATTTCATTTTTTCAATGGTGATATCCGAGTGTTAAAACTTCAATTGCATGTTTTCGATGGTGATATTTAAATTTTTTTCGATGGTGATATCCGAAGTCATTTGAATATCTTCGGTGATAATATCCGAGTGATAAGGTTTGATTTACATTTTTCGATAATGATATTCGAGTTTTCTTCGATGGCGATATCCGAAGTCATTTGCATATTTTCGGTGGTAATATCCGAGTGATAAGATTTGATTTACATTTTTTGATAGTGATATTCGAGTTTCTTTGGTGGCGATATTCGAAGTAATTTACATATTCTTAATGGTGATATCTGAGTGTTAAGGTTTGATTTGCATTTTCTTGGTGGTGATATCCAAGTGTTAAAGCTTTAATTACATTTTTTTATGGTGATATTCAAATTTCCTTCGGTGGCGATATCCGAAGTCATTTGCATATTCTCGGTGGTGATATTCGAGTATTAAGGTTTAATTTACATTTTTTTAGTGGTGATATTCGAGTGTTAAAGCTTCAATTGTATTTTTTCGATAGTGATATTCGAGTTTCATTCGATGACGATATCCGAAGTCATTTGCATATTCTTAGTGTTGATATCCGAGTGTTAAGATTTGATTTACATTTTCTCAGTAGTGATATCCGAGTGTTAAAGCTTCAATTACATTTTTTCCATAGTGATATTCGAGGTTTCTTCGGTGGTGATATCCGAAGTCATTTGTATATTCTCGATGGTGATATCCGAGTGTTAAGATTTGATTTGTATTTTCTCGGTAGTAATATTTGAGTGTTAAAGCTTCAATTGCATTTTTCAATGGTGATATTTAAGTTTCCTTCGATGGTGATATCCGAAGCTATTTACATATTCTCGATAGTGATATTCGTGTGTTAAAAGTTGATTTTCATATCCTTTGATGGTGATATTCGAGTTTCTTTCGATGACGATATTCGAAGTCATTGCATATTCTCAGTGGTGATATCCAAGTGTTAGGGTTTGATTTACATTTTCTCGATGGTGATATCCGAATGTTAAAAAATCATTTACATTTTCTTTGGTGGCGATATTGAAGTTATTAACATCTTCTCGATGGTGATATTCGAAGTTATTTTTGGTGATTTAATTTCTTTTTTAACCTCTACCTAGGACAGTTTTTTTCAAGATAAGATTTTAAAGTTGTTGAGCCTCTGCTGAGAGGAGCTTTTTCAAGATGAAAATTTTTAAAGTTATTAAGCCTTTGTTGAGGGAGCTTTTTTTTAAGATAAATTTTTAAAGTTATTGAGCCTCTGCTTAGAAAAGCCTTTTCCAAGATGAATTTTAAAGTTATTGAGCCTCTGTTGAGATGAGTTTTTTTCAAGATGAATTTTTAATGTTGTTGAGCCTCTACTTAGAGGAGTCTTTTCCAAAATAAATTTTAAAGTTGTTGAACCTCTACTGAAATGAGCTTTTTCAAGATGAAAATTTTTAAAGTTGTTGAACCTCTGCTTAGAGGAGCTTTTTTTCAAGATGAATTTTTAAAGTTATTAAATCTCTGATTGGAGGAGCTTCTTAATTAACAAAAAAAAAAAAAAGTTTTATGTTCAATGTTTTTTCTTTCCGAATAAAATGGTTGTCTAATTATCTTTGTCTTATTCTTGATTCTCAAAAATAGGCAAAAAGGGACAGCTATAGACATCATTTTATTTATTTATTTATTATTATTATTATTTCTTTTTTTATTTTCTTTTTTTTCTTTTTCTGACAGCGACTCTGACAGTCGCCTACAGTTGCGCTGCTAGCAACCCTAACAGCATTCGACAACCGTTCTGACAGTCGGTGGCAGCCCTAATCCTAGGCCACCAAAACCCTAGATTTTTTAAGATTTTGGCCTTTTTTGCTCTATAAATAAAGCAATGAAACTGTTGAAAAATGAGAGGGAAAAGAAAAAAGCCCAGAAACCCTGCAAAAAAAAAAAAGAAGTGACCCAAAAAAAATGTTTCCAGAATAAAAAAAATTCTTTCTATAAAAAAAAAATCAAAACAAAAAAACACACAGTCTTCCCCATAGGGAGGAACCATAAACGCCAAGCCCCTACAATAAAATACAAAAAAAAAATCAATTTTGGTTTGTCAAAAAAAAAGAGAGAAAAGATTGAAACTTTGAGCCCCAATCTACGTCGATCAGGGCTGTTCCCTTTAAAAATGTGATCGGATCCAGAAAGAGCGCATCGAGAAGAACATTGTGGTATATTTTAGGATTTTTTGATGCCGACAACGACGACCGATGACTGATAACAAGCGATTAACACGAAGACTGACAATATACCGATTGATCTAGAAAGAAAAGCTCTTTGAGAGGGAGAAGGGTAGAGAGAGAAAGAAGAAAAAATGGGAAAATTTTTTTTTTTTTTTTTGCTTTTACAGTAGTTTGAAAGCCAAAACGATGTCATTTTGACTCAGAAGGATCCGCGCGTCAGCCACAACCCAACCTGAGGTTCGCGCGCCCAACTTGACCAGTCTAATTGAACCAGACCTACCCCTAAATCAAATCAGATTGGTCCAAACCACTGGACTTGATCAGACAGTCGAACGAGCTAAACCGGCGTTGATCGGTTCGGTCTAGGTTTTTTTTTTTGAAATTTTGAAATATTATTTTTGTTATTTTAAATTTTATTATTAATATTTATGTTTGTTAAAATGTTTAAATTTGCTAGAATAATTTTTTAAATAAATAATGAAATATATAGTAAAATTTTGTGATAATTTTGTTATTTTTAAATAAATCTTAATAATAATACAAAATAATAAAAAATAAGAAAAAAAAAATTTTATCCGACGATGAGATTCAAAGGTATTCCGAGTAGTGATACCTACGAAATCTCTAAGTAATACCTACAAAATCTTTAGATGAGAACATTTTTTTTAAATACTACCAGTATATTAAAGTATTTATAAAAATTTTAAATACAATAAAAATTTTCTTTTCTTTAATAAAATAATAAAAATTAATTGAATAAGTAATAAAAATGAAAAAAAAAATTTATCTAATGATGGGATTCTAAAAGTATTTCAAGTAGAAATGTTTTAAGAAATTCTTATGTGATAAGATTTTTTTTAAATATTATCAGTGTATTGAAATATTTATAAAAAATCTTTAATATAATAAAATTTTCATTTTCTTCAAAGTTTTAAATGAACAGATTAGTAATAATTAATAAAATTTCTAAATAAAAAATAAAATATGTGTATTAACATATTATCATTTGTATTGTATTCATTACATAGTTTTTTTACGAAAAATAAATTTAAGCCTCTGAAAATGAGATTCTAAGTATTCAAGAAACGATGCCTAAGAAATCTCTAAATGAGAAAAAGTTCTTCTAATATTATCAACGTATTGAAACATTTTAAGAATTATTTCAATAAAAAAGTTCTAATTTATTTTTCTTGAATAAAAATGAAACAATAAATAATAAATAAAAACTCAAGAAAATTATTTTTCAAACATTGAAAATAGAACTGTTTTTTATCAAAATCAAAGGATAATACGTAGTTAATTGGTACCGTTTTAAACGGACGCTTTAAGGGTGCCAATTATTCCCCACACGTAATAGACTCTTGAACCCAAACTATTATGCAGACCCTAAAATTATCTTTTTAATAAATTTTAATTAACTTTAAGATTTCATTAAAATGATATATTTTAATAGGTAATCAATCGCACCTAATAAAAAAAAGATTTGTGGTGACTTTTATTTTTTATTTCGTTTTCAAATTAGTCAGATAAATACAAAACCGTTACGACAATATAAAAATTTATTCAAATTCGAATCAAATTTTAAAAATTTATAATTTTATATATTATTCAAAATTAAACTAAAATAAATCTAATCCAAATTATTATCACCTCTATTTACAGCTTTTTTTATTTTTTTTTTTGTCTACTGAAATCAGAGACAGATACACGTGAGCTAACCTCCTTCTCCCCACACCCTTTCCCTCTCTCACTTAATCATAAGCTCGAACTGATTTATCATGACCCCAATTTCTTCTTCATTTGAGACACCCAAAAAGGTGGACATTGTGGGATGAGCAGACCCATTTGTACTATGCATTCAAGAATTACAGTCTTACTATTTGGTACTGCTGATTTATTCCAACAAAGACAGATAAATAGATATTAATTTGATTATTGATCTTCAATTATTCCAACAAAGAAGTTTCGGAGCAAGTGCCATGTACAATATACAAGGTTGATTTCAACCAACACGTCCAACAAGATTTCTAACTTTTTCATTTGAAAAAAGCTCGAGAAGAAAGTCAATGTGAACACCATTATTTTTCGTCTATTTTTTAAGAACTTTCAACAAATATGAGGACAAATTCTTTTAGACAGTCAAATTGAAAAATAAAAGGGTCAAAGCAATGTTGTCATCCTTGTTCATCCATATCCATATAATCAAAGGTAACAATAAAAATTTATGGAGAAATTATCAAAACAAGAAGGCTACCGTCAAACATGGAATAACAGTACTAATCCCTTTATAGATACATTATCTTTCTAATGATTTACAAACATATATTTATATATATTTAAAAAAAGATGAGGAGATTGATCAGTATATAATTATACTATTTTTTCTACAAATTAATTAATTTAATTAATTTTAATTCACTGCAAGCCTTTTTAACCAAAAATAGAGGGGTTGAGGGGTTGAGGGGTTGAGGGGTGGTGGGTCTAATTTTTTTTTCCTTTCTTTTGCTTGCTAAGTTCTAATAAATTACTTTATCAACATGCTGCAGAAGGATTGGTGAAGGGATTATAGAAATGAGGCTTTGAAGCCATTGAAAATGGGTTCTTGGAATTGCCATCGCCAACGCCGCCAATCTTTTCACAAGATGGGCACAGGGTGAGAGTAGCTGCTGGCATGTGCATGTAAAAGAGTTGTCCCATCTTCAGTGCTCTGAATTCTTGAAGTTCCTTTTGCAGTCTCTTGTTTTCATCTTTCAGCGTCTCACAATACTTCTTCAAGAACTCACAGTCCACCTCAGTTTGCTTAAGCTTTGTCCTGTCAAGAAGAAAGCAGAAATTTTCATGATTTGTTGGATATTTAAAAAGTAAAAGGCAAAAAATTTCTAGACATAACAATGAAGCTTGGATTAATTAATTCACCTGGCTCGCCTGTTCTGAAACCATACTTCAACTTGTCTAGGCCTCAGGTTTAATTGCCTTGCTAAAGCTAGCTTTTGCTTCTGTTGGGCGTTGGCATCAAATAAAACAAAAGATTGATTAGTTTATTACTATAACATAACAAATAATCAAGAAAGAGGCGACAGCTTACAGGATTGGGAGTGTTACGATGTTTGAAGCTGTCCTCGAGGAGAGCAGATTGTTCTTTGGTGAGTCTGAGTTTTTTTTTAGCATTAACTCCGTCTTCATCTTCACCACTAACTGTAGAAGAATTCTTCTCTACCTCTAATTCTTCGCTGCTAAGGTCTCTTTCCCTCTTAACCATACCACTAGAAAACGAAGAAACAGCACTATGAGAAGCTTGAAGATTCAAAAAATCACAGGTGGCAGGTTCCTCATGGTGATGTTGATAACCGCCTTTGTTCACATCAATCTTTTTGCTAGCAGCAGTAACGTGGTAACTGTCATCAGAAAGCCCCAACGTTAGCAACGGTTCAAAACTTGTTGCTGCCATGGTTGTTTGTTCAAACTTGAGACATGATGACTTCTTGGGCGTTTGATAATTATTTGCCTTGGATGGGATTTCCAGGGTCGACGAGAAGCCTAACCCAAGAACAAGGCTTGTATTACATGCATCATCAAGATCCATCAAGCTGAAATTTTGTTTACCAATGGAGTTGGACGGGTTCTTTTGTTATGAAATTAGAGATGAAGCAAATGAAGGGAAAGAGGGGGAGAGAGAGAGAGAGAGAAGGGAAAATAGAAAGGGGGGAGTGGTTTGAAAGATAATATGGTGGTGCAAAGGGGTCTTAAGACTCTTTTTAGAGGGGGGACTGGGGGAGGGAGTTGGGTGGGTGGGTCATGGGTGGCTATGATTACTAAGCGAGGTTTGTTTTTTTTTTTTTTTTAATTTATCATGGTCATGAAATTATAGAGATGATTATTATTTTATAATAAAAATAATTAAATAATTAAATTAAAAAATATATTTATTAATAAATAAATAAACTTTTATAATACAAATTATATAAAAAAATTTAAATTAAAAAATAAAATTAATTTATTAAATTTATAATCAAAAATAAAAAATTACATTATTTATAAAATACTTAAAAAAATAAATTATTTTTGGACTTATTAAATTAGATATTCATTTTAAAATATAAATTTATAATATATAATAATTATAATTTTAAAAATAAAATTTCAATTTACATATTAAATGAATAATATTAATTACTATTAATTTTATATATGACTCTCACTTGATAAAAATTTTTTACCTTTTGAATAAAACTTAAATCATTTTCTAATATAATGATTTGATTATTTTTAATGATCTAAAATCACCATTACATAAAATTATAGAGTGTTTATTAAATATAATAATCTAATTATTATATATAAATTATCATAAAATTTTTAAAGTGATCTTCCCTTACCATATATCAGCTAAAAGAATGAAATGAGTAGGGAAACGAATATGGAAATGCGAGAACTATGAAAGCTCCTCTTTGTCTTCCCTTTGATGTGGTGAGTTTGTTTGGGGCCTAATGCCCCCCCCCCTCTCCTATACATTTTATTTGTATAAAATACTTCCCAATAATCTTTCAGGCTACACTGATTCGAAATTAGGTCACCCATTAAACATGATTAGAACTCAAAAATAATACAAAACCAAACAAAACAAAACGTGCAAATAACACGAGATCAAGCTTTTGTTAGTTGTTACTAGCTAACCCCAAGAAAAAAAAAAACAATAATTAAAACATAATAATGATAGGAATTTTGCTTCCATTCGGGGACTTTGATGGTCCCCTGGAGCCCTGGACCCGTCATCTATCAGGAAAGTGTGGTGCACTTGTTTCCACGAAATATAATGGCTTGTTTTCTCTATAATTTGGTATTTTTTATAATTAATTTTCAGCTGATCAAATTTGAAACTGGATCAAAAAGTTGTAGTTGTGTTTGGAAAGGAATTCTGTTGTCTGATTAGTCAGTTCGATTATGCTTTTTCTCTGGTGATGATCTTCGGATTAGGCTATTTTTAATATTTTTCTTTTTTGGAAAACTAGAAGGAAATAGTCAACCTAACAACCAAATGACACTTTAGTTTAATGACATGCTATTACCCACAATGGAAAAAATTAAGGTGAAGATTTTTTTTTTTTTAAATTAGAGTATTAAGTAATCTTTGAATGGGTGAAACAACATAGACCATATTATTAATTTATCATGCTTGGATTGAGCTAGTCAACAAAAAGAAATTCATAGAAAAAAAAATAAAGGGAGACAGGAAAAATAACAGTTGAATTTTTAAGTCTCAAATTGGTTTGTGTACAAATCTTGAATGAAATAAATTTTTGAAAAAAAAAAAAACATTATGGGGCTTTCTTTTTTATAAGATACAAAACTATGTAAAAAAGGTCTATTTTGGTCATAAATCCTAATTTGAAGTCATGGTGAATCGAATTGATGAGAGTTTCAATATTCTTTAGTATCCTAATGATGAAGATGTGAATTCAAAAAAAAAAAAAAAACTTGGGTATAAAAATGATTCTAGAAAAAAGAAGAATTAATAGGCACATTTTCCTATTGAATTAATGAAAAAAAAAAAAAAACTAATAGCATGATAGACTTCATAAAGGCAGCTTTGTTTGCTGTACCTTTTTCTTGTTAAGCTACCTAAAGATGAATTTTCATAGGGATTAGAAGGGTTGACAGTAATGGTGTAGTTGACATTTGCCATTCATCTTCTTTTCATCCATGGGCTTAGGCCCCTGCCTAGGTTTTTCTTTTTTCTTTTTTTTTTTTAAACTAAAAATGAAATTCGAAATCAAAATCTTCAATTTAGAATCCTTTTTCAATATCATTAAATTAGCATATCATTTAATTAATAGTTCATTGATCAGACCCTTATCTCTTTAGGTATGCTTTTCCCTACATTATTTGAACATATTACATTAATCATGATGTATTGTTCAAAACTAACTAAAAGAAAATAAAATTAAAAGAGAATTTTTTATAGGGAAATCTATTTGTATATACGTTCAAATTAGACAAACAAAGAGTTTATTATTACCATTTAAACCTAAATGTTAATATTTTATCCCAAGATCCAAACATAAGAATTTTAAATTATTCGAAATATCAAGTTTTAACTATTCATTTGTCCCCTTAAAGCTCTACTTAATCGGTATTAGTATATGGATGGTTGGATCATGAATGGCACTCTTTTTTTAAGGAAAAACAAAAAAGATTAAGAACACATGCAGGTGAACACAACAAACATAATTTTACATGAAATCAATCTTTGAGGCGTCAATGATCACAATGGGAATAATTTACAAAAAGAAAATCTTATACATGGGCTGGATTTTTAAATTCCAAAACACTATCAAATGATTCATATATGTTTTATATATTAGGGTATATTAAAAAATTAATAATTTTATACACAAAGTATAGTAAAAAATTAATAATTAAATAAACATGTAAGATTATTATAATTATATACAGTTTAAAATTTCAAGATTGGTATATGTTTTTTAATAAAATATGTGGTTGACAATATAGGAAATGCAAATAATAAAAAAATTATTTCGTATTTCATAATAAAATTTTAAAAAATAGACCAATGAAAATAAAATTAAAGGGTTAACCATATCATAATAAGGTATATTTAAAATAATTTATAAATTAATTTAATATAAAAAGACATTGGAGGGCCTTCTAATTTTATTTTAGAATTTAAAAATTTCAGTGTTAGTGATTATGTACAAAATAATAATCCAACAACAAATCTCAACTTTTTTAAAAAAAAGATAAAGAAATGGAAAAGGAGAGTGGGAACAAAACCCGAATTTATAAAGTAAAAGATATGTGAAATGGGATTTTGGAAAATGTGGTTTATGGAAAGCAAATTTGTTTAAAGGTTGAGTTATTTGTTTAAGTTTTAAATTTATTTAAAATTTGAGAGAGTTTAAATAAAAAATTAAAATTTGTTAAATAATTTAGATATAATTTTTAAATTTGTTTAAATTTTGAGTCGAATCTTAAATGAAATATTTAAAGTTTAAATTTGATTTGATTTGATTTGAATTCATATATATAAATTTTTTTATTTTTATATATACATGAATTATAAATAAATTAATTCACACATATAAAAAAATTAAAAATAAATATTATGTATATTTTCTTAAACTTACCTTTTTATTTTTAATTTATATGTATATATGAATTATATATTGTTCTACTAAACTTAATTTAATCACATTTTTATATATATGAATTCACATATAATTCTATTAATTTTTATACATATGAATTAAATATGATCCTATTAAACTTAATTTAATTATATTTTTAAATTTTTATTATATAAATTAAATTTAATAAATAAGTTTAAATTTTACTTTTTTAATTTGAATCAAATTTAAAAAAATTTTAAATTTTAAAATAAATTCAATTTAAATAAATATATAAATTATTAATAATAAATATCAACCCGACCATATCCTCCCATAAGCACTTTTAATGTAAAGATTGAGTCAGTGTCAGATTATTATTATTAACCATTATTTTTGGACCCAAGCCAAGTAGATAGACATTGACTTTGACACAGTCCAAAAAAAAAAAATGTAAACAATTATCTATCTAATTTATTAATTAGTTAACCAATTAATTAAATGTGATACCTTCACGGTCCTATCCCAACCCCAACCTTCACTTTTGCAGAGAGATTTAAAGGACAGGTGGGGGCCACCAATGATTTGGTACGATGTGGCAATGATGAGGTAAGAATTTGGGATTTTTTTCCTTTGCATTTGTTAAAGTTTAAAGTTTGTTAAAGTTTATTGAAATTATTAAATTTAAAATTAATTAAAATTTTTAATATTTTATCAATTAGTTAACATATCTCAACATTCCTATTGAGTCACATAAAAAAAAACGAAAATTTTTTTCCCATGTTTAGCTCTCATGTTTAAGCCCACCATTGAATTCCTTTCAATTCTCACCTTTAAAATAATTTTGTATGTTTTTGAAATTATAAAAAAGATAAATGTAATTTAATTTTATGAGATTTTTTTAAATTTACCTTTATCTTTTTTTTTTAATATTGATCTATATTTGTCAATAAAATTTTGGCTTTAATTATGTTATAATTCATTAAATTAACTATTAAATAATTATAATTTAATTGTGATGTGATAATTAATTATATAATATAATATTTAATTACAAACATAATTTTAAAAAAAAATTAATCGATGTTTCCAGCAGCCTAAAAGCTCAAAGTCCACTAAACACGTGATCCACGTGATCCACATTGTACTAGAGTCACAAAAAAGATAGCTGTCATAATTTACTTTATCCCCCTAAAGTGTTCAAAAGATTATAATTGCTTGTTTAGATGTAATTAAAGTGGTTAGAAGTTTAGAAATTGTACTTTTTTTTTAATTAATGCGAATGGGGATTTATATATCATCTCCCACTAACCTTTATTAGTGTATGCCAATAATTCTAATATGAATGATGTATGTCTTAATTAATTAATATTAGTATGATTTTAACACAAAATGAAAAATAAATTTGAAGATTTAATTAAGAGGTTTTTATGAGTTGAATTAGGTTAGATTAAGTTTGATTGACTATGTTAAATGTTAAGTTTGATTTGGGTTCATTTAAATTTGTTTATATATTAAAAATAAAAAAATGCTTTTTTATTAATACAATATCATTTTAAACTTGATCAAATTTTGAAAAATCAT